ATGTGTAGTGTTCTTAAAATTTCAGTTCTGATTAAATATATAACAATGAATGAGCCCTGTTCTTGCTCCATAGCATCTTTGAGTAGCTAAGTTCTGGTGTCAAGATTCCAATTGAGAAGTGTATTATTATTTGTAGGGAAGCAGGCTGCCTTAGACCCATTCATCTTGCTGAACCTTCTGCCGAACTCAACTGACAAGTATTACATTTACAATGGTTCATTGACATCCCCTCCCTGCACAGACAGTGTTGAATGGATTGTTTTCAAGGATACTGTTAGCATCTCTGAAAGCCAGGTAATCTTGGAAGTTCACATAATGGAGTAATTTGAAGCCATTGTAAAAGCTATTTTGTAGCTCTGCTATAGACCTTCTGTTTTAAAGTATTTGCTAATGCTTTTGAAGCAGGCATGTTAAATGGTTTGGTCTTCTTTCCAGCTGGCTGTATTTTGTGAAGTTCTTACAATGCAACAGTCTGGGTATGTCATGTTGATGGATTACTTGCAGAACAATTTTCGAGAACAACAGTACAAGTTCTCTAGGCAGGTGTTTTCCTCGTACACTGGAAAGGAAGAGATTCATGAAGCAGGTATGTGTTGAAATACAATTTTCTGCACCCCGCACAAACTCAATGTAGATGATTTCTTTGTTGTGATGGAAAAATACACAGGACTGACAGTTTTTGAAATATTTTAATTACTTTTGTCGCTTTAGGCAAGCAATTTAGCTTCCCTGAATCTTGGTTCCCACATCTATAAATGAGAATTTGAAAAATCCATTATTCCCTCTATGAATTTTTTACAGATGAGAAAAATGGAAATTCAGTAAACAGAAATGGTTTCCCCAAAACATAATAATAAACAGCAAAGCCACATATACTTTTCCAAATTCACTTTACAGCATCTGCTTGTACTAACAGTTCTAAGAGAAAAAGGAGTAAGGGGAGGTGGGGCCTGGAGAGATAGCTCAGCAGTTAAGAGCATTTATTGCTCTTCCATATGACCTGGGCTCAGTTCCCAGCACCCACATGAACATTAACACTCATCCTTAATTCCAGTTCCAGGGGCTCTGATGCCCTCTTTTGGCCTCTGTGGGCATTGCATACATGGTACACTTCATACATGCAGGCAAAATATTCATACACAGGAAATAAAAATAAATTTTAAAAATCCTTTAAAAAGAGTGAGGTGTTCAGTGCTTGGGGAGTTTGTGTCTGGTTGGGGTGACCAGGGTCCTCCACTCCATACATGAACTGAGTCTCAACATGAGATTTGGGTTTTGTGGTGCTCACCTCTGTGCTGCCAGCTCCAGGGGAGGAATCTAGCACTTAAAGGGTAAGGAAATCGTTGTATGAAATTATTATTCATAAATAAAAATATCTCTTCCCAATTTCCTTCTTTGGATGGAAGTAAGTTTGTCTTTGTGAGATACAAACAATAGAAAAAATGGTGAAGATTTGGGGTCCTCTGGGGTATCCTCAGTGCCTTTAGAGGCTGACATTGGTGGGTCAGAAGCCATTACAGATGTCCAGAGGATACAATCCGAGGTGTCTGCTGACTTGTTCCTTTCTGTTTATACCAAGGGTGCACTAGTCCATGAAGAAGTAGTTGACAGGGCCTTCAGTCTGGGGACTTAAGGCTTTCCAAATAGATAGTCTCCTTTGATCTCAACTCTGCACATCATTTTTGCCATGAATAATATTAATTTAATAATCAACTTTTATTTATTTAATTGTATGTGCTTTGCCTGAAGGTATGTAAGTGCACCCATGTATGCAATGTCTCTGAGGCTAAAAGAGGGCACTGGATCCCTTGGAACTGGAGTTATAGATGATTGTTAGTCTCCATGTGACTGCTGGGAGCCAAACCCAGGTCCTCTGCAAAAGGAACTGATGCTCTTAACTGCTGACCATCTCTCTAGCTCCAATAATTGGTTTTTTTTTTTTGAAAATTAATCTTTACTGAGTATACGTTCAGTATTTTAATGTAATATTTTGAATTGTTTGCCCTTTAGCAGAAAAAGATGACAACAGTCTTAAATAGTTACATTTAGTGTGACATTTTGGTTCAAATTAAACGACTCCAAATTGATGAAATTCAATTCTATTTCTGTCAGCCATAAAACACACTGTAATAGTCTTTATGATGAACACTACATAATTGACTGGAAAAATGAAAATGAATCTAACCACCTCCTTTTCCAAAATACAATAAACTAAATAACAAAATACACATATATGATTTTTCTAACATACTTTAAATTGTATTTTGTTAAAACCCTTCAGCTAGTCATCTTTTAGAATAAGATCCACAATTTATCATTTGTTACAGTACGTATTTCATGTTTATTAATTTTTTGTATTTTTTATTGTATGTGTGTGAGTGTTTTGCCTCCATGTATGTAAGTTCACCACATGCATGCAATGCCTGAGGAAGTCAAAAGATGCCATCAGATCCCCTGGAACTGGAGTTACCATTGGTTGGGTGCTGGAAACTGAACACAGGTCCTTTGTAAGAGCAGCAAGTACCCTTAACCACTGAGCCATCTCTCTAGCCCATGTTTATTAACCTTAATGCTTTAAACCCCAACAAACTTTCTTCTCTCACACTAAACTCTATGAGTAGTTTCCAGAAGCAGGAGGACCACATTTGCACAGGCCACATTTAAGACGCTATTTCCTCTTGGTGGTATGCTTTCTTCTCCCACTCGCTCTCCTTGTTTTTCAAAACTCAAGCAGCCCATTGCTTCCACTCAGAAACCATCTCTGATAGGCTCCTTCTCCCTACCACATGTGACTCTGGCCCAGACACAAGACTGTACACTCAGGAGGCACCATAGGCAATAGAGTTCAAATGATGTTCATCTGAACTCCAGATGCTTTCCGCTAGTGGCCACACTATAGTAGTTGCCTGTGTACATGGCTCTCCCACTGTAGTCTGAGCTCACAATGTCAGAAACTAAGTATTTTTTTAAGTCTCTTTTATGCATTTCTGAGCTAAACCGAAGCTTTAATTCACTAAATGTTCACTGACTGCATGAAGGAATCAACATCTATGTACTAAAAGCATGATGATGTCTTGATAGGTGCACCCTGTACTGTTCAAGTTGTAAGCTAGCACATGAATTTGTATAGTCAATATTGGTTTGTTTGTTTGTTTTGATTTTTTTTTTTTTTGAGAGAGGCTCTCCCTGTAGCCCCAGCTGGCCTGGAACTCACTATGTAGACCAGGCTGCCCTGGAACTCACAGAGATCTGCCTGCCTCTGCCTCCCAAGTGCTGGGATTAAAGGCGTGCATCACCACACCTGGCTAATACTGTTTTTATAATTAAGTTAAAGACTCAAATTAGTAGTAGTAATTATAATAGCTACCAAGTATTATGTAACTTTTTCTTGCCTTGAACAATAGAGTGTTTTATGTAAACCGCATATCACCCATTTCAATGGTCAACATTTTCCACATTTTACAGTTTTAGAAACTAATATTGAATGTGTTGCCCAAGTTTCCACACTAGAAAGTGATGGTATCAGTATTTGATGTCCTTGTTTTAAAACTTCCAAAGTGCTTTCCACTTCGTGTAATACTTAGAAAGGAATGTAATTTGATAAGTAATGACCTTAAAGACATAACACTTGAAAATGTTGACTTTTGAGGGTTTTCTTTATTCTAAGGTTGAGTACAGACACTACAGACTCGACACTATTTGGTCTTTGAGTTAGTTAGGATATGAGGAGGCTATGAAGAAAGGCAGGAAACTCTCAAATGGCTTGTAAGTCTTAAATCTCAGTTCTATCACCCATGCATATATATTGCCACACTATCTCACATTTCCATGGCAGCACTGTTATGGCTATCAGAATAATAATCATTACTTATCACATATTTGTGATTTGGTTCCAATGTAATTTAAATGACAGAACTAACTAGGGGATAAAAAGCCTATTGGAAATAGATACATTCATCCTTAAATTGGGGAGACCTAGAGAAGCAAAAGTTAAAGACACAAATTCTAAAATAAAAATGTAAATCTATAGGCAGTTTGGGCACTGTTACCCATTACCTCAAGACAGTCCAATCTCCAGGCTAGAGAGATGGCTCATCAGTTAAGAGCACTGGCTTCTCTTGCAGAGGACCTGCGTTCAGTTTCCAGCACCCACATGGTGCTAACAACTATCCATAACTCCAGTTTGAGGGATCTGAGCTTTCTTCTGACCTCTGCAGCATTGAATGACCATTAGGTTTCATCAATCCAAAGCAGAGTGTGTAACTCCAAGGTAAAAGAAAAAACAACAACAACAAAACCTGCAGACCAAGTAAAATGGAGAAAAATGACCTGCCTGCAATAGCAGCGGCAGAAAAACCTCAGAGAAAAGCAGTGCAGAAAAAGATCACACAAAGAATGAGCCTTCTGGGGAAGATATGACAGGACCAGGGCCACAAGGACAGGCCCCAGCAAGGGACAGAAGGAGTGGAAAGGGAGGTGGGGTTGCAGAGCCACAGAGAAAGCAGCAACTAGCTTGCCAGAGCAGAGTTGGTGTAAAGCAGCAACAGGAAGTAGTCTATCAGACCTGCTAATTTGGCAGGCTGTCTCCCCAGTCCTCAGTGAGATTCAGGGAGGAAGGGAAAAGGGAAAGTTATAGAGCAGCAGTTGAAAAAAACAAGGACATACTCTCATTCCACAATAGACAAGACAAAAGCCAGAATCCTTTGCACAGGTGCTGTCCAGAGCAGAATTCATTTTGTCCAACTGCCCATTCATTCAGTCAGTCAGTCAGTCACACAGTTATTCATACATACAAAGCAGTCATGAACAGAGACCACAGTAACCAGTTTTCAAGAGTACACCAGGTTGCCAGATGTTTTTCAGCCAACATCTTGGCTATTGAGAAAGTCTGGGGGAAGGTCTTCGTCAAGATCTCACTCCCATTATTAAAGACCAGACCAGACCAGAATGGAGCTCCAAACCAGAAAGAAGAATTTGCCTCCTAGGAGGACCAGAAGGACTCAATCACTTTTGGTTTGGGGGTCACACAGTGGTCATTCTGGGACTCTCCAACCCAGGTGAGAGAGTCACAGGGACATGGAATTTCTCAGGGGGTCCCTCCTCTGTAATAATTCACTGAGCTGGGGAGATCTGGAGTAAGACTGACCCAGTGGCTATCTCACGGGGGCCTCCAGAGGAGCAGAAGAACACCACGTAGTGCTAGTTGAATTAGGAGTCCTTCATTAGTCAGTGGTTAGAGAGGGGAGCTAATGCCCCAAAGAGCTGTTGACTTTGAGGGGAGGCAGAGTAGGATTTATAAAGCCTAAAACCACAATTACATCATTCCAGAGGCAAAGCCAGTAATCATAGTTATGTTAGATCACCATAGTTACATCAAATCAGGGACAAGTCAGTTAACAAAAAGGCTTTCAGTTAACAAAAAGGTTTAGTTAGGAAAAACAAGTTTCTCAGAATTGCAGCACAGTGGGCTCCATGGAGATGCAGATATAGCTGGATAAGAGGATGGACATACTACCTAGATGTGCTACTGGACTAGTTGGGAGTTTCCCAGAATTGAAGAAACAATGTCTTCCTGAAATTACATAT